TCTGTCTGCTGTTAGGAGTTACTGCTTAGGGATGCTAGACAAACTCAACTGTTTTTTTTTTTCTTGAACTCCTGGTTTCAAAATAGAATATATGCCATTTGGGAACTGCCTGGGCCTAGGAGAGGCAGGAGCGGGGATAAGAACAGCCCCTCAGTAAATTTCACAAAATTATTTACTGTTTATTGCCTTTACTCTGTGCCAAGAGTAAAACAGCTACATTCAGTTCTGTCTAGATACTCTGTCTGATTCTGTGAGGAGTGACTTCATTGTGCCAAATTCACATGGCTAAGGCTCAATACAATATAGCAAGTTCAAGGAATAGGTGGGTTTTTGCAGATGGTTGAAGGCTCAGAGATGATTCTGATTTGATAAATCCATTAAAATACATACCCCCTATTTAGTGAGTATACAGGGATACTCAGAGAGAGACAGAGCTAGGGTATAAAGTTTACCCACTTTCTTAGAAGCTTATGGTACTGTCCTAGCACTTATGGTCATAGGGTGAAGTACCTAACTATCATATCCCTGGGACATGGTGGGGAGAGGGTCTCCCCAAACTGTATCATTTTTTGGCTCAACAGGATCAGGTTATTGGCTAGCAATGCCACCTGGAGGGCTGCAGTTAATCAGGGCCTAGTGACTTAAACTTAAGAGCACTTCATACTCCCTACTTATCATGAGTATTAACAGTTTCTTAGACATATTCTATGCATCCCAGTTTAATGATTATTCTTCTTGGAAATAAAAACAGAAGCAAAATAGAAATGTTGAAGGCCTGTGTTCTTTCTGTTATCTGTTATCATTGTCCTGTACCCTGAGTAGTAGACATATACCTTCTTTGATACTCTTCTTTTCATCAAAATAGCTTAAAAAAAACACTTTTCTTGTACTTAGCATGCCTTACCAGTCTCAACTCATTATGAGCTTTAGCACCCCTCATGTTATTTTTATAGTAAGATGCAATGCATTTGTATTCATCCTATTATTTCACCTTACTTCTGTATTTTTTCTTGATCCCTACCCTCCCAGCTGCTAGTGCCTTCCCTCCAAATCACTGAATCTATTTTGTGAATACCTGTATGTGTACATAATAGTAAGCATTTATATGATACTTTAAGGTTTGCAAAGCACTATCTATATATATATACACATAAATACATATGTGCACATATATATATGTATATCTATCTATATCTATATATCTCAAGTCCAACACTCAGTCCACTGTGAACCACCTAGCTGCCTATAAAAATCCAAGTAATAGGTGGGTTTCCTGTGCTTCCACATCAGTGTTTAGATAGCTTCCTCTTTTCCCCATCTTTGTGTCATTAGAATTTCATTCTTGAGAACATCTCATCCCTCTTGGACTAATATCACCTATTGAATTTTGCACCATGGGGCCTTATCTATCCTCTCTTTGAAACTTTTAAAATTTGCCTTCCTTAAATATGGAGTACATGCTTGGCTTTCCTCTCCTGATCTATGAAAAATTACAGAGGGGTGACTGCTTCTCAAGTCTTATAACTTTTATTTCCCCAACCTGTTTTTATTTGGTAAAAAAACAAACAAACAAACAAACAACCCAGAAGTTACTCATTACTTCCTTCCTTTGCTGAGAGATAACATCATCAATAAGGCAATCCTAGAAATGACTAAAATTGCTTTTTTTTGGGAGGGGTATAGAGAGAACTTGGACATATGTGGATGATAGAATTCTCCCTTCAGTGTTGCATCATTTATCTGTAAAAGATTTGTGGTCTATTTCCTAACTTATTCTTCTATTCCTTCCCTCTATATAGGTGTTCTGATGTATACTGTCTCTATTGATCTTCACTCAAATGCTTTCCACCACACTTATTGCCTTGGGTTCCTGTGTTTTCTCACATGCATATATCTTAACATATGATGCTACTCTACCTGTCTTGTTATTTGAAACATAAGGCATAGATATAAAGCCAAGATGGCAGAATAGCAGGAAGAAATATGCCTGAACTCTTACCCACAACTCCTCATCAGCTCTAGAAAATACACCAGACCAAGTATGTAATATCTTGACTGTGCAAAGTGCATTCTCTGGAGCTCTCATCTTTCACTTGTGCTCAGAAAATGAAATTAAAAAGGAGAAGAAATTAGTCAAGAAATAAGATCATTTTTACTGCTCCTAGCCATGTGCTTCTCCTGTACATCAACATTATTGCTCCTACAGTTGGGAGGGAGGTAATGTGAGAAATTCCCTTCCCTCTTCTCCCACTCTGGCCTGTAAATATGAGGTAGGGAAAGCAGGGCAATTGAACTTTCAGTGAACTATTCTCTGAAATCCTTGAAGCTCCTGTGAGAATCACCTGATCAACTCATCCTTACACTTCAGCACTTCAGGAATCTGTGATTTCATATTCATGCTCTCATATGACTGAAAAATTTTTACCCTGCAGTCAACCTGGTGATGATCCTCTCCAAACTTAGGTTTTCAGTCTGTACTAGGCCCATTCTGAAATACAGATAGGACCTGCTAGAGCTTAGACCTCATTCAAAGGTCTCTGAGAACTCAGGGTGACCTCCATACCTCACTCTAGTGAAGTACCATTATTGTTTGTGTTTGTGGGGGCACAGAAGAGGATTGTTTGTCAGTGGAGGGAAGTCTGCTCATTTAGCACCTTAGCCAAAGGATAGGTGAAAAGGAAGGGACCATGGCATAGAAAGCTGTCCATTTCCTTTTTTTTCCTCAAATACCCAAATTTTATAGCAGCACTTTTTTTGCAGTAGCAAAGAAATATAGACTAAATATGTTGTTTGGGGATTGGTTAAACAAATTGTGGCACATGAATACAATAAAACATTATGTTGCCAAAAGAAATGACACTGATGAAAAGTAAGGCAGACAGAACCAGGAAAACAATATAAACAATGGATATAACAATGTAAATGGGAAGAACAATAGCAAAATCAAAATTTAAAGTTATCCATCTAAATACAAACTAAGCTTGGTCACAAAGAAGAGATATGAGAATGTACCTCTTTCCCTTTTTCACAGAAGAGGGAACTAAGGATGTAGAACATTACATACAATGTTCGAGTTAGATGATTTGTGAGTTAATTTTGGGAACTTTTAAAGTATTCTTCCCCTTTTTAAATATATTTCCATATTAGTCATATTATGAAAGAAGAAACAGAACAAAGAAAAAAAACAGGAACATTTTTTAAAAAGTGAAAACAGTATGCTTCAATTTGCATTCAGACTCTATTATATAATTTTTTTCTCTGGATGTGAATAGCAATTTCCATTATGAGTCCTTTGAAATTGTCTTGGATTATTGTATTGCTGAGAAGAGCTGTCATTCATAGTTGATCATCATACAATGTTGCTTTTACTGTGTAAGATATTCTCCTGGTTCTTCTCACTTCACTTTGCATCAAAACTCTACCATTTTAATAGGCCAGAGATAAATACCTTTCTCTTGGATTCTCTTTTCATTTCAGAGATGAGGAAACTGAGATGTCAGTTTAATTCATTTATTAAACACATGTTATGTGCCAAGCACTGTTTTAGGCACTGAGAAAACAAAGATAAAAAACAGTTCTTGTCCTCACAAAGTTTCTAACTACTGGATTAATAAGTGAGCTTTCCCACATCTCACAGAAATTAGGGGCAGATTTGTATCTCTGATTTATCATCCAGAGCTCCCACTTCTATACCATCCTTAGGGACATATTATCTTCTTCTTATCTGTCAGTAGTAAAAGCCTCCAAGGACAATACTTTAATTCACCTTTTACTGACTATCCATATTTCCCAAAGTAGATTTCCGAAACCTCCTATCTTCCAAGTCTTCCAACATAAAAGAGGGGTTTGGACGATAGATTACATTCTAAGGTATTTCCTACCTTTGATATTCTATATTTTAAGATTTCTTCCAGTTTTGACATTTTATGTTCTAAGGTTCTTTCAATCTCTCTTTTAAGGTCCCTTTCATTCTAGGTTCTAAGGTCACAGGTCTATTTCTGGCACTCTGTGTTCTAAGATCCTACCATTCTATGTTCTAAGGGCTCTTCCAATTTAGACATTCTTTTTGTTCTAAGGTCTTTTCTATCTCTGACATTCTATATTCTAAAGTCCTTTTTACTGACATTTTATGTTCTAAGGCTTGTTCAACTTCTGAATTCTACTGTGCTAGATGGCACAGTGGATAGAACCTTGGACTTGGAGTCAGGAAGACCTGAGTTCAAAATTGGCCTCAGATATTTCTAGTTGTGTAATCCTGAGCTTCGGGTTCCTCAGCTGTAAAGTGGGGTTAATCATAGCACCCACCTCTTAAGAGTTCTTGTGAGGATCAAATGAGATACGATTTGTAAAGTGCCTTCTTCACAAATGTTTGTTTCCTTTCTTTCCTTTCCCCTTTCCATTTTTCACATTGTATTCCTTCCAAATTTGGCATTTTAGCTTCTACAGTCTTTACTGCTTCAGACATTCTGTGCTCTAAGATTTCTTCCAGTTTTGACATTTTTGGGGGGTTCTGTTCCACTTCTGACATTCTAAGGCTCTAAGGTCTCTTCCAATTTTGATGTTCTAAGTCCTTACTGCCACCGACATTCTATGTTCTAAGGTCTGTCCTCTAAGGTCTCTAACTGCTAGGCAATTCCCAAATGTTATGAACTGTGCTTAACGTGTAAGTCTTTACTCTTGGTGCCTAGGCATAGCAGGAGCGTTCCTAGATTTAATTCCCTGCCCCAACTAAACCCGACCCGCCTCCCCTTGGGGTCTACCTCCTCTACTTCCCTCCCCCCGCCTTCAGCCCTTGTTCCTCCCATACTCTTCCTCCCCTCCCCCTAACCACGGCCATTCCCAAACCCTGGAACAGGAGATCCCAATCCGGGATTGCAACTGGGGTGGGGGTGAGGGAACGGGAAGCGGTGGGAGCATCGGGCATGCGCGAGCCGCTCGGCGCATGCCCGGTGAGCCCCCGGCTGGTTCTGCTCTCGACTCGGAAGCTTGGGAGCCCCTGACCCGGGCGAACGGCAGCGAGTGTGAGTGTGCCCCGGGGCGTGCGGGGAGGGCCCTGGCTGAGGGAGCTGGTGCCGGCGGGCTGGGGCGGGGGAGGTGGGAGACGCCGGCGGGCGGGCCCCGCGAGGCCAGCCCGAGGCTGCCTCGGGGTGGGGGTTGGGGCGGGGGCGGGGGCCGGCGCGAGCCCAGCCCGCCGAGCCGAGCCGAGCCGAGCGGAGCCTGTGCCGGGAGCCCGGGCCGGGACCGTGCGGGGCGGGGCGGGGGCGCTTCTGCCTTCCGCCTTTCTCTGCTTGCTCGGGAGGGACGGCCGAGGCCGGGCGGGCGTAACGCCGTGTGCGGGAGGACCTGGCTCCCGGAGCCGCCGCCTCCTGCTCTTCCTCCTCCTCCTCCAGCTGAGCGGCGGGGAGCCGGGAGCACCGGCGGCCGCGTGTGCCAAGGTGAGAGGCGGGGAGCAGGGCCGCCCGCCGCCGGTCGTTGGTGCCCCCACGGCCTCCCGCTGCCATCCGCTCCGCGCCTGCCTCAGCCCACTCCCCATCCCATCTTCCTCCGCCTCTTTCCTCTCCCATCCCCTCCTCCTCGCCATCCTTCCTTCCCCCCAATCCCCTCCACCTCCTTCCTGTCTTCCCCCCCATCTCTCTTCCACCTCTCTCCTCCCTCAGCCTCCTCCCCATCCCATTCCCCATCTCTTCTCTCCCCAGTCCCCTCTTCCTCTCTCCTCCCCTGTCCCCTTCTCTTCTCCACCCCTTCCTTCTCTCCTCCACCTCTCCCCTATCCCTTCCAACTCTCTTCCCCATCTCTTCACCCCACACCTTCCTCCCCATCCTCTCTCCCCTCTATCTTCCTCCCCATTCCTTCTCCCCTTCATCTCCCTCCCCTACCCCTTCACCTGTCTCCCCTAGCCCTTCTCCCCTCCACCTCTTTCTTTACTTCTTTCTCCCATCCCTTCCCTTCCTCTTTCTCCTTCCACCTCTCTCCTTCCCTCTTCTCCCCCTTTCTCTCTCCCGACATCCTTTCCCCTCTCCAGTTTATAGAACAGGGTTCCTCCTCCTCTCCAATCTCTCCTTCTTATCTGGCACCTCTTCCCTTTTCTTCTCCTCTCCCTCCTCCCCTCTCTAGTTCATAGAAAAGAGTCCCCTTTTTCCTCTCCCCGTCTCCCCTCCTTTCTGGTCTCCCTCCTTTCCCCCACCCCTTCCCTGGGGAGTGTGGTGGGGGGCGGGGGGCGCGGGTTCGACTTAGTATTCTATCCGAATTGGTTGTTTGATGGAGCTGGGCTTAGGCCTGGGGGATTGAGAGAGTAAGGTCGGGGTTGGACCTTAGCCACTCCTCTACCCACCTTCTCCTTTTCCTTCTAGGCCTCCCCCCCACCCGTTTCTGGAAAGGAGTTGGGGGTGGGGGCTGGAAAAGCAATAAAAAAGCTTGGAGGGTTGGGGAATGGACGGGTCAGGTTGGGTTTTTGGAGGCTGAGGTGCCGGTTTTGTGACTGCAACTCAAGGAGGGAACCCGAGAGCCAGTCTGAGAAGCCTTGTGGATTTGAATCCCACAGGATGTGGTAGGACAGGACGGGCCTCTGCTGGAGTTGAATGGTGAGAATGCCTTAGAAACAAAAGGGGAGGGGAGAAGAGAAGGAAAGGGTCATTCCGTAGGGACACTTGGTCCTGAGATTAAATAAATTTAAGAAATAAGTTCAAATTTAGCGTACTGGAAGCTTGGTCAGTTTCATGAAATGAAATTGCCACCGCAGGGAGGAGGGAAAAGGGTAGGTTTTGTGGTGGAAAGTAAAAGGAGGACTTCGATTGGTTTGTGAGATTGTCTTGAATCACTCTCGAGGGTCCTCCCTCTGCTATTGCTAATAACCAAATAGGAACGGGAAAGCAAAGTTCACTCAAAACAGGTTTTGTTATTCTGTTGTGAGTTTTCCCTGCAACTTAAACGAGAAATAATTTTAAGATAATTAGAATTATTTCTAAATAACTTTGCCTCCTTTATCCAGTTCACAGCCTAACTGCAATTTTATGTAGAAAAGCAATTTTAGCCGTTTCTGCCTTGGTTACTTCCATTGGTAACTTTCCTTCACTTTTTCTTCAGAAGAATGTATTTACATGTTCTTTGGCGTGTCACAGAAGTTCTTAACCTGGGGTCCATAAACTTGTTTTAAAATTATTTTGACAACTGTATTTCAGTGTAACTGTTTTCCTTTGTAATCTTAATGTGTTTTATTTTTTGCATTTAGAAATATTCTGAGAAGGGGATCCATAGGCTTAGCCAGACTACCAAAAGGATGCATGACATACACAAAAAACCCATTGAGAATCCCTGATTTGACACGAATTAATTACAGGTTTTTCTAACTAGAGGCACCAACAAAAGTATATGTTGTGAGCCTTTTCAGCAGTCTTTTTCTTGCATAGTCAGCTTGCATCTGGCTTTTTGGCTGTCTGACCTAGACAGTAGTTCTGTAATATGTACAATGGTTGGAGTCAACATAAGAGTTTGGGGATTTGTTTTTTTAGATTCACCATCAAAGGGAATTCATTTCAGAATACAGACATTTGCATAATAGGTAAGATAGACTGGACCTTTCTGAAATCTTTTACATAACCTATAAATTGTTTATTTTTTAAAGCATCTAGTGTTAATTTCTTTTATAATACCATAAAGTTAGGTGTTTTGATAGAACATCCTCTCTTTAAGAATGTGAAAAGTAAAGGAAAAATAAGTGAAAACTTGAATGAAAATAAGCTTGTTTTTCTAATTCAATTTTATTGAAGGACATTTGAGTTTTTATTTTACCCATTTGTCCTATTGGACTCATCCAACAACTTCTATTTAATTGTAAGTCCAGCTAGTAAGTCTGTATTATTCAAATACATAATGCTCTTTAGAGAAGTAAAATGCACTAATGAACAGTGTTTTCACAACTCAGACCTGTTGTTTCAAAATGATCTTCATTAGTTGAAATGTTTTATATCTGGACACAATTTTGCTCCTTTTGAAAATAAAAACCTGTTTTGTTGGAGTAAAAGTAGTAGCAACATTGTTTTAAGCAGCAGATAATTGCCTATTTTGAATTCGTGTATTAAATATTGTGTAAAATTCTAGATCAAGAGAATTTATATTTTCTTCTGATGATATTTGTATCTTTCAGGATATATATTATCATCAACTAGTATAACAAGTTTTTTATAGTAGTAAATGGCATGGTCTAGTCCTCAAAGGGGCTCACAAAAAGAAGGAGCTATACATGAATGAAAGTTGTGTAATGTCTAAAGGCACCAAGGCCAGAGATAAATAGATAATAATAGCTGACGTAATAGTGCTTTAAGATATGCAGGGTGTTTTACATAAATTTCAATTGTGATAACTGCATAAATCATTTCAAACACATAATTTTGTGTAAGGATAATGGGGCAGAATCCTCTTTCCTGGAGGTAGTAGGATTTAAGAACCCTTGGAGATAAATTATTCCATGTTTTAGTGAGCAGTATATTATGAATTAAGTAAGAGTGGAAAAACAGACTGAAAATGGTAATGATGGTTGTATAGACAAAGCAGAAAACATGGGCAAGGAGTCATTTAATATAGATAATCAAAAAGTTTTTTTGACAAGGAAATACGACTGAACTTAGTGTATAGGGAGTATAGTATTATATGCATTGGTGTTCCTGGGAACTAAGTTTCATATCTGAAGAAAGATACTTGAATTGTTAATAGGTTAACAATGTTGCAAAGAGGTTAGTTGGAAAAATTAACTTTTTAAGTTGTGAGAAAATTGCACTCTGTAATTTCATTGCTTTTTGAGTACCATATGTATGTAATTAACATAGATACCTATTTCTACCTGTGTCTTGCTGAAATCTTGAAGTAATTTATTTTTTTAATATAGTGAAAAAAATGAAGTGTCATCATTCCGTCTTTGGCTTCTACCTTTATAACTAGGGGTGATTGGAGAAGGGCATTCTTGCTTTAACATTCTTGAAGACTAGAATTACTTTTTAAGAATGCTAAATGCCTGTATCATCTGAAGATAATGAAAGCAATATTTATTAAAAGTTAGAAAAGAGTGACTTATTCAGAAGTGCATTTGCTTAAAAATTAAGTGCAAAAGTTGACAGATAAATATCTGTGGGCATCCCGTATTAGAATGTAAGCTTCTTGGGAATAGGGATTATTTCATTCTTTGTGACTGAATACCCGATAGTGTCTGGAACATAAGCACTTAATAAATACTTTGATTTATTTTATTGTAAGTGTGCTAATCTACTGTTAAAAGTAAATATTTTTAATTTAGAAAAGTGCCAAATTATATATATTTGTCTCAAACTCCAATATTAAAATCAATTCCATTATTTTTAGTTGTATATGTACAGTGTTCATTTGTAAATTAATGAAAGATGAAGATCTAGCTGCTGTTGCACTTGGTAACTTTTTTAAAAAAGTGGTTAATTGATTTTTTTTGTTTAGTTTTTTAAATCTCACTTTCCATAGTTCATGCCTTTATCAAAAGACTCTAAAAATAGTAATAAAATTTTTAAGAAGTGTATGTCTTCACTGAGGATTGTAAATAATGTAAAAGTATGTGCTCATATATTGGTGAGAGTTGAATGACATATATAAATGCATAAGAAGCAAGAAAAATCTTTGCTAAAATCATCTTTCAGGTTTTAATTTCAATTCCTTATCAGAGCTGTTCTGTTTTAGAATCTATTTGAAAAACGCTGATGGACAGATCTTAAGGCAATTATATCCTTTTTGAAATTTAAACTAATATGTAAAAACTGCTGAATTCATGTTAGATGCACCTGATCATGTTGGATGCACCTGTAGTTGACTAATGTCAACAAGTGATATTTGAAAGATGTTTTTGACTTTTGTGCCAGCATAATTATTCAGGTCCGTTATTACTTCCTCTCTTTTTGGATCAGCATTTGGCATTTTCCTTACTTCTTTTCTATCAGAAGACATGGTCAAGGGGAGATTAGTTTGACTATCCAGTTGCTGTCATGTGGAGGAACTGAGCAAGATA